CTCGATGAACTTCCTGAAAACTGGCGGGATAGAGACAAGCACCGCAGCGCCACTTCAACCTTAATCTAGCTAGACTTAGTGTCTCAAGCTGCTGGTACTTGCTGGACATCTCCCGTTTAGCTCCAGGCCATTTGGGGAACCTACCTTATAGTGAACAAGCATGCTACCAACTGAACCTCACTTAGTGTAATATGCCCGATTCCCGCCATCCCAAGTTTCGGGGTCCTGAAAGGTCATTTCATGTGCGAATGATAACAGGTGTCGTTCGCCATCCTTACCACGTCCATTCCTCGATCGTGTTGCAATTTGATACCGCGTTGACTTTTCCCTCGTCCTCTTACACGTTTCTTCTTTTTCTTTTGGACCTCCACTCAGTACCATCATCATCACCATAGGGCATCAGCACAAGGGGCTCACCTGCCGACCATGACCGTTCCTCATGTTCTTAGCACATATAGGGAAGAAGGGCCGGCTGGTGTAGGCGAAGCGGGGGTTGAAGGGCCGCGGGGTAAACCGCTGTAGCAGCTCCGCATGGCCCGTGCCTTCGCCGTCCATCACCGCTCTAAAAGGGTCATCATTGCTGCAAGAGTAGCACAGACCTCACTTGGCATTTCCAGGGGTCGTTGACGGTATTGAGCAAAAAAGACGGCACAGCCGTCTAGGAGAGGCAAAGGGCAATGCTCTCAAGGCAGGAGCTGCCCGCAAGCAGCAGAGTGGCATATACACTAACCCACTACCTACAACCCTACCCCAACGACAAATTGGCGAACTCAACCACACAAGCTGCCTGACGTTGAAACAGATACACGTTGCTAGGAGCTGGAGTTCTTAGAGGACCTAAAGGCAGTGATGACGAAGTCGGTCAGCCTGTTGCGGGCACATACGCCTCTCGGAGGAGTGCATCTTTCTCTACTCCTAGATCGTTACATGCCTTGCATTTGGCGATGAAGGTAGATGTGAGTACATCATCATCTTGCAGTACCTAGGGATGGCACCCTTCCCGAGGAGCATTCAGAAGCCTCCAGAGTACAGCATTGGCAAAGTGTATCCAATCCTTCATAGGATCGGCACTACTGCTGTTGGTACTACCACTGGCCAGGAACGCCAGCCGCGATACCATACCACTCATCCGACTATTCGGAGAGTCTCCTCCGAGGATGACGTCCTCGAGAG